CCTCTGTTCTCCCCCCCCCTCCCCCCCCCCCGGTTTGGGAACCTATGGTCTATAAGGTGCCACAGGACTCCTTGTCATTTTTGCAGATCCAGACTAACACGGCTACCCTTCTGATACTTGACACCTAGTACTTGCTACTTCTAACTCATAGGAGCCAGAGCTCTAACACAAAAGATCTGACCTTAATGGAATACAATTTACCATTTATTAGTTAGTAACACCGGATTTTTAAAAAATCATTCAGAGCAGAATTTTAGATACTGGCAACACTAAAAAAAAAAAAATCTGTTTAAAAATCTTTTTTTTTTTTTTTCTTACCTTAAGCTATTAATACTTTGTTCAAAATGTAGTCATGCAAATGTGATACACACAGGAGGGGAGTATAACACAGGATCCCAGCCCAGCCAACTCCTCAACAGAAGGACTAGGGGAGAAGCAAGAAGTGAAGGAGACTGCTGCTCTGTTAGCAGTTCACAGGGCAGGGGAGGATTTGGGAAGAAGTCAGAGAAGTTGATCCTATCTTCCAGCTTTTTCCACGTGACAATGAAAAGGCACGTGCCTTCCAGCAAGTAATGAAGCACGGATCCTTCTTACCCTTCAGCCAGCAGCTTCAACAGGATCTAGATCACATGATCCCCCAAGTACTTCCTGCCTCCTGATTGGAGAAATTCACTCACCCCTGCAAGTACAGACCCTCCGTGGGGTGGAAGACTGGAGTAAAGGCTAGAGCCAGTATAGCAGGCAGCTGCTGCTTCTCCTACTCCACAGTGAGGGAGCAAGTACCTGCCCTCCCCCTTTCTCCAGCCAATCAACTGAGTCCCCTGCTTGTGTAGGGATCTCTGAACCTTTGTGTGGAGCTCAGAAAAGGGCCTCAGGAATGAATAAATGATGCTTTTATCTTTTACGTGTGAAGTTATATTTAACCTTGCTTTTCCTATTTCAGCTTTATGGTATAATGAAAAATGAATATAAATAATGTATTACATCATTTTCATCCCTGACTAAGGCAGCAAAGATGATGCTAGAATGAGGAATCAAATGACTGGGGTTTTAAATCATGGAATTTGGTCAGCGGATATGTTCTACGGTTCTATGATTTTAGATTTGATATAGAATCATGGGGTTGGAAGAGATTTCAGGAGGTCGAGTCCGACCCCCTGCCAAAAGAAGGACCAACCCCAACTAAATCTATTTAGCTAGGTCTTCATCAAGCTGGGACTTAAAAATCTCTAGGGATGGAGATTCCACCACCTCCCTAGATGCGTTCCAGTGCTGCACCACCCTCCTAGTAAAATAGTTTTTCCTAATATCCAATCTGGGCACACACACCCCACCTTCTCCTGAGTGCACACACACTGCAGTTTGAGACGGTTGTTCCTCATTCTGTCATCTGTCACTACTGAGAACAGCCTCTCTCCATCCTCTTCAGAACCCCCCATTCAGGTAGTTAAAGGCTGCTACCAAATCCCCCCCTCATTCTTCTCTTCTGTAGATTAAATAAGCCCAGTTCCCTCAGCCTCTCCTCATAGTCATGTTGCTTTCTGTTGGACTTTCTCCATTGTGTTCACATCCTTACTATAATGGTGGGAGAAGGGGGGCAGAATTGGATTCTGTATTCCAGATGTGACCACAGCAGTGCTCAAAAAAAGGGGAATAATCACTTATCTAGATCTGCTGGCAGTGCTCTTCCTAATGCACCCTAAGGATATTAACCTTCTTGGCTACCAGGATACACTTACTCATATTCAGCTTCTGATTCATTGTAATCACAGGGTCTTTTTCTGCTAAACTGCTGCTTAGCCAGTCTTATCTCCAGCCTATAACAATGTTTGGGATTCTCCTGTCCCAGTTGTTGAACCTCATCAGATTTCTTTTGGCCCAATCCTCCATTTTGTCTAGGTCAGTGTGGACCATATCCCTACCCTCAAGTGTATCTACTGCTAGCGTTGTGTTATCTGTAAACTTGCAGAGGGTGCAATCCATCCTCTCATCCAGGTCATTAATAAAGATGTTGACCGTAGAACCAACCGTTGGGGCGCTCCGCTTGATACCGATCACCAACCAGACATTGAGCCATTTACCATTACTTAGTGAGCCTGACAGTCTAGCCAGGTTTCTATCCACCTTACAATCCATTTATCCAATCCTTACTTCCCTTAACTTGCTGTCAAGAATACTGTGGGAGATAATATCAAAATCTTTGCTAAAATCAACGTACATCACTGAGCCAGTTACCTCATCATAGCAGGCGATCAGGTTGGTCGGACATGACTTGCTTTTGATGAATCCATGTTGACTATTCCTGATCACTTTCCTGTCTTCTAAGTGCTTCAAAATAGATTTATTGAGGGTCCCCTCCATGATTTTCTGGTGACTGAGGTGAGGCTGACCATCTATAGTTCCCTGGATTGTCCTTCCTCCCATTTTTAAATATGGGCCCTATATTTGCCTTTTTCCAGTCATCCGGGTCCTCCCCCAACTGCCACGAATTTTCAAAGATTATGGCCAATGACTGCAATCACAGCAGCTGACTCCTTCAGCATCCTCAGATGCATTATATCTGGCCACATGGATTTGTCTATGTCCAGCTTCTCTAAATAGTTCTTAACCTGTTCTCCCCTGATGGTTATCAACCTCCTTCCCATTCTGTGTTGCCTAGTGCGATAGTCTGGGAGCTGTTCTTGTCTGAAGACAGAGGCAAAAAAAAGCAATGAGTGCACATGATATGTCCAAGGTCAGGACCTTGGGATAATGAGCTGTTTGCTATTTTTATTTATTTTTTTTATGTGTGGGTCTTGAAGGTTACAGGTTCAAAGTATACATACACCTTTCAGATACCTTCATCTCTGTGTACTTTTATTCTGTTTTGGGTTCATTTACCGTGATTGTTGCCATAAAGGAATTGATAGACTTCCTAATATATTAGTTTTTCTAAGATGAAACAACCAGAGTTGTTTTTTGAAAAGAGGCTGTTAGAGTATGAAAGCTTTTGAAGTATGTTATCTTTTCTGTTATGTAGTGGAGATTCAGTAATAGTCAGATCAGTAAATTGTAATTCAAAGCAGAAGGGATTTTAAAAAGGGTCTGCCTAATCAGATATTGAATCATGGTGTTTGCAGAGCTTGTTAGTTGAACAATTGATATTCTATAATTTTGGAGTCTACAGCTAGCCATGGTGCTATAACATGCTTTTTGTTTTGTTTTGTTTTTTGTTTTGTTTAGTCAAATACAATCGAGATCTTGTTAAATCAGCTACTAAGCCTCTTGACTGATAAACATGCTGTAGCTAGTTCTTGATACCTTATTTTTGAGACAACTGGGAACTGTTTTCATGCATCTGTATTGTTTGATTTTGGTGAAAAAAATTTTTGTTTTGTTTGTCAGCTCTGATGAAGTTATACTGATTTCTGTGGAAAGCAGAAATTCAACAACTGTAACAACTGCAAACAATTCAGGTATCCAAAATGCTAACCTTAGCATGCATATATTCTAATAAACAGATTTGACTAAAATAAAAATTAATCTACCACATTAGCCTACAATTAATGTTTTTACTCGTTTTAATGATATCAAAAGAGCGACCCTTCAGTTATTATAATTTAAACTTCCTTGTGCTTTACCTATCTTACTAACCATACTTCAACATTTTTTAGAGGGCACTATCCAATTGAAAAAGTTTAGCATCTGTGCTTGCCCACTGAAGAGCATTCCGAGACACACTGCTGGGGAGACTATAGCCTAGTATTAGAGGGATCTGGATTTCAGGGGTCTCTGTAGAAGAAATCTTGGCTGGCTGACTTGATTTCATTAGGGTAGAGAGGGTAGTATTGATCAGTCTAAGAGCACATCTACACTAGCCCCCTAGATCGATCTAGGGAGGCTAATGAGGGTGACCAGAATTGCAAATCAAGCCTGGGATTTAAATATCCCACGCTTGATTTGCATGTTCCCGGCCGGTCGCCATTTTAGAAATTGACTAGCCCGAAGTAACTGCCCCCATCTACAGGGATTCCGGAATAAAGCCCCTAAATCGAATTAGGTGGTAAATTTCATTCCATGAGGAATACCACCTAATTCGGTTTAGGGCTTTTTTTCCGAAATCCCATTTCACTGCCATGCGTAGACACGGGCAGTTACTTCGGGCTAGTCAATTTCTAAAATGGCGACCGGCCGGGAACATGCAAATCAAGCGTGGGATATTTAAATCCCAGGCTTGATTTGCAATTCTGGTCACCCTCATTAGCCTCCCTAGATAGATGTAGGGGGTTAGCGTAGATGTACGTTAAGGGAGTCCTTCTGCCTCTCACAAAGTCTACTTCCAGATGTATGTCTCCAAGTCTATTTGACATTTTTCTGGTATTCCACTTACTACAGGGGTGGGGAACCTTTTTTAGATTGGGGATAAGGTTGCCAGATGTTTTCAACAAAAATACTGGACACACTTGACATTACATCACAATCTACATTACATCTCATTTAGAAAATACCGGAACACTTATATTTTCTCTGTTATATTTTCTCAATTTGTTTCCTGAACAGAAAGCTCAAATACTGGACTGTCTGGTTCAAAACTGAACACCTGACAACCCTAGTTGGGGGGGCCGTTGACTCAGAGAAAAATAAATCAGGAACCGCACGAGAGCCTAGGGAGGTCTAAGCTAGTAGATTTTTGTGGGCCCCCATAAACTCTGAGGTGGGGGGCAAAGATGAAGGGTTGAGTGTATGGGGGGGAGGGTACCAGGAAGCAGGCCTGTGGTATGGGGTCGCGGTGAGAGGAAGAGCATGAGAGCTAGCTTGAAGAGGAGCCCTCAGTCTTGGGGGCCAGATCCAGGCAAGTCGGAGGCCTTATCCAGCCCCTGGGCATTAGGTTCCCCACCCCTGTATTAGATGGACATTTTTATATCCTACATCAGTCAGGCTTATTGATTGGAAGTTGAATTTTTAATCTTTTGTGAAAATTGTTTCAGATGTTCAAAAAACAATCGTTTCTACACAAGAAGTTTCTACTAAAGCTCAATCCAAAAATAAGGTAGGTTGAGTTTTTTTCTCATGTTCATCTTTTAAAAATTAAAGGTAATTGTTTGTGCATAAGGTAAAGAAACAAAGCCTGTGGGGTTTTTTTGTTTTTTTTTGTGTTGTTTTTGTTAACTGTAGTTGTGGTGATACTTGTTACTTCAGGCCATTTAGCATACACAGCGATCATTTTTCTTTCCTTTGTCCTTCCTTCTGTAAGGTGCCTGGTGTGCACATTGCTGTACTACCTCATTTTCAACATCTTAAAGGTGAATTTCAAAGAAGAAATTACTGGGCTTGTGCCACCTTCTACTTTTCTGTAAGCTATGAAGACTGCATTAAAGGTCTCTAATATGTTTCCTCTCCTTTTTTTTTACATTGGAAATGTAGTTCTTGTCCTCCCTGGAAGACTTTAATGCCTGGAGAACTAGTGAAATTATGAGATGAGATCACAAGAGACAAAAAAGTTCAGCAAATGAAAGGGAGAAGAGGGTTTTTTTTCCTCTGTTCCAAAATTTCCTGGTTTGTCTTTTTATCTTTTGTGTTTTTGTTTTCCCATTCAACTCCAGTGATTAACAGTTTGAGTAAAACTAAAGTGCAAATCCAATTTAAAAAGATCATGAACAACTCACCTTTTTAAAGCAGCAAGTGTTCCCTAAATTAAATTATAGAAATCACTTATGGCTTTCTTAAGAAAGATAACCCTTAACATGAAGCAGATTATAGGTCACACAGCTAAATATGTCCCTCATGTCTTTGCTTTCTTCAAAAGACCCTGCATTCGCCCACCAAAATACACACTCCCTAAGCTTATCAAATGGAATATTTACTCTGGAAATTCTTAGATCTGCTGTACAAGCAGGCTAAGGAAAGAGAAGATCAAGGAAGCAGATCCTCTTCTCTTCCTGTACATTTGGGAGAGTTACATGCTCTTTATAATCTTGACAGATAATGATGTTTGTTTTTTATTTTGAGGGGGGTATTTGACAGTTCTTCTTTGAGAGAGGTCCCTGTGGGTGCACCACTCTTGGTGCCATCGCACCACCCTTGATCGGAGAGTTTGATAGCAGTCCCTTGCTGGCAATGCATTGGTGTTGTCTGGCTCTCACTCCATTGTTAGTTGTCCGTTGTTAGTTGGAGTAGCATGTGCACAGTCAGCATCCCCTAGTTCTTCGATGAGTTTCCCTGTGGGTGTTCCATGCTGCTGCATGCCTAGTAAGAAATTTTTGGTAGCAGCGCTCTCTGGTGGGCTTCACATGCGGAGTAGACTGCATGCGCAGCGCCACTACTATGCATACGCAGCAATTATCCCCTCAGTTTCTTCTCTGCCATCACCGGCATGGGTCGGGACCTCTTTGCTCTCCAACATAGAAGTATAGTGAAGCATAGTTGCCTGTTAGATGTTATCATAGTTGATAGTTAAGCAGTTAGTGTTTGTTTTAGAGGGGGAGGGGAACTTTTTCTTCAATTTTTTTGGTTAAGGCTGTTTTTTCTGCCTTAACGGTTCTCCTCCCTGGAATGCCGGGTTCCCCAGGCTTTAAATGCTGCCTTCCCTATTACTCTCTGCTCTCTCTGTTTTAGACGGGCACTCAGTGTGTCCGGTGCTTGGGCAAGCCACACACCACAGCTCAGTGGCAACATTGTAAGCAGCTGATGGCCCAGATGTGGAAGGCCAGGGAACTGAAGTTGAGTTTTCTGGAAAGTACACCTTGGAAGCCCTATCCAGTGGCTATGTCCGAGAAAGCAGCCCATCTGCCTCTGCTGCTCAGACTCTTCCCTAGACCCATCCAGGAAGAGGTCTCATTTGTCGAGCAAAGGTGACTCCCCCTCAAAAAAACACAGGCAAACACCTAAAATACCCCCTGTACTGACCCAGTCTAGGTCCCAGGACAGGGAGGTACCCGGACCATCATCATCTCATGGCTCCCAAGGGTGCAAGCACCTCACAAGGTGACTGACAGGGCACTCGATAAGCCTAAGTCAAAGTCGGCACTGCCAGCACCGCCCACCTCTGACTTGGCACCCACAAAGGCCAAGTCGAACACAACACAACACAAGGGTGTTCCATCGGCTTTGAAAAAGCTTAACTCGCACACTGCATCATCAGCACCATATCGCTGCCAGTACCATGAAAACCAAAGCAACTACTACCTGCTATTCTGTTGGTGCTGTCAGCACCGCTGGTAGCTGCAGTACCACCATCTTCAGTTCATCTCGCACTGATCCCGTTAACGATGACTGAGGAGCTCAGAGTGACGTCTGTGCCGACCACACCATTATTCGGCACTGATGGTACGCCTGCTTCTGGCAGGTTTACTTTGTCCACTTCTGTAGGCTCAGCGCCGCCATTGTCAAGCGACGAGGATGACAAAACACCTTGTTGGTCACGATACACCAAGGTACTCTTCACTTAAACAGACTCACCTGCAACACTAACCAGCACATGCAGCAACCAGCACCCCAATGGCAAATACCCTGGTGGCTCCCATCTCCAATCCCTATGCCACCCAATTGAACATACTCAGATTCTTGAGGTCCTTACAGGATCCAATTGCCACAATAGGCACTGACACAACCAGCCTCGGCTGTACCATCCAAGTCTGCCTCTATACCATCATTGGATACCTCTCTGTGCCAAGTGGATGAGCCTCCTTCAACTGATGATGAGTCTACAGTTTCTTCACACCCACCTACACACACATCTTCGTCTTCCTCTGATGATACTCTGATGCCGTGACCTCCCACACCGGGAGATGATTTTAAATCATTCCAAGAACTATACTGAAGTGTAGCAGGCAGGCAGACATCCTAGAGGTCTCATTGGTTATCCTACTGGAGGCTTACCACAAATTAACTGATATCCTGCATGCCTCCCTAGCAATTAAACTGGCACTTCTTGTGGACCCAGTCCTCATGGAGACGGTGCAAATGCTCTGGCAGACACCAGCTATCATACCACCGGCATGCAAAAGGCCAGACTGCAGATATGTTGTGCCTCAAGGTGCTGGCTTCTTATTCTCGCATCCAACCCCTAACTCCATAGTTGTAGATGCGGTGAACCAAAGAGGCAGACAGGCTGTGACTAGAACCACCCCCTATGAGAGAGAATGGAAACGCCTTGACCTCATGGGGAGAGAGCCATATTCCCTAGCATCCTTACGGCTACGCATATCAAACTATGCAGCCATGCTGGCCAAGTACACACACCGCATCTCTGAGCAGATGACACATTTTATTGAGGCTCTGAGTACAAGAGACCAATACAGAATCAATATTAACGAGGACACCCTGATATCACGCATGGCCCTTCAAGTCACACTTGATGCTTCTGACACCACTTCCCAATCTATTGCGACGGCAGTGTTGATGAGAAGGTCATTTTGGCTAAACCTGTTGGGTTTTCCACATGAGATCTAGGCCATGGTCGAAGATCTCCCCTTTGAGGGATTCAAGCTCTTCGTCAGCACCACAGATGCCTCCATTCACTCCCTGAAGGACTCGTGCTATCTTGAAGATGCTGGATATTCATGTGTTTTCAGTAAAACATAAACAGGGAAGAAGTTTCACTCAGAGGTACAAATCCACACCTTTTAGCCTGACGTTTTGAAGGTCAGGTCAAGAGTCTGGTAACCATCTCCTGGTTCAGGGCAACCTCACTCCCTATTCTGGCATCCTTTTTCCACCAATCGTCTGCCATAACTACCAACAGATGGATACTGAACATTCTAAAGAACGGATATTGTATCCCCTTTTCTTCTACTCTCCTTTTCCACTCACCTTTCTCATCCCCCTTCAGGGACCTATCTCATAAGACCATCCTCCTCCAGTATTTCGAACATTTACTCCATCTTGGTGCAGTGGAACATGTACCGCAGCAATAGGAAGGGAAAAAATTCTTCTCCTCCTACTTCTTCACCACAAAGAAGTCAGGAACCTGGAGACCAATTCTCAATCTCAGGAGGCTCAACAGACACACATGTCCACAACAATTCAAGATGGTCAGCCTATCCACCACAATCCCCATCAAGACCAGGGCTTGACAAACCGTGGCAAAATCTACTCGCCAGCCCCGCACTGCGCATGTGCCAGACTCGCATTGTGCATGCGCTCGCTGCCGGTGAATGGGGCAACCGGCTGAAATCTACTAGCCATGGGTGAGTAGATTCACTGATTTGTTGAGCCCTAGTTATCAACTCTTGACCTCCAGGACATGTATCTTCACATATCCATTCACTCTGCTCATTGCAAATTCTTCAGATTCATAATCGGCAGGGCACACTTCCAATATACAGTGCTTCCATTTGAACTCTCTTCAGCCCCAAGAGTCTCCTCAAAGGTGCTAACAGTTGTCGCAGGGGTCTCCATATTCCCATATCACAATGATTGTCTGATAAGAACAAGCACAAGCTTGGAGACCCAAGAAGCAGTCTCTGACCAGATGTTTGTTTCAGACTCTAGGGCTACAGATAAATCTCTCCAAGTGCAAACTTCAACTATCTTAGATAATGGAGTTCATTGGAGCTCACCTCTACTGTTTGAGGACCATAGCTTCTCTACCTCAGCAGATTTTCAGACTATAAAGGACCTCATAGTGATTCTCCAGACCTCCTTACAGACAACTGTGAGGATTTGCCTACAACTACTAGGGAATATAGCTGCAGCCATGTCAGTGGTGTTGCACGCCGGGCTTCATATGAGAGCAATGCAGCAGTGGGTCAGGACAGTATACAGGCCACAACACAACTTCATTACCAAACTGGTGTCAGTCCTAACCAGAATCAAATTTTCCCTAGATTGGAGGACAGACCCAAGAAATGTGTGCACTGGGATGCCTTTTCACAGACGTTCACAGTCCATGACTACCATGATGGATACCTCCCTTCTTGGTTGGGGAGCTCATTTGGGCCCTCTCACAACTCAGGGTCAATGGTCCCATCAGGAATCCAACTTGCACATAAATGTACTGTAACTCAGAGAGGTATTCTATGCATGCCATCACTCTCTATACTGAATATA